GCTAGTATTGACAAGGAAACGGCTGGCAAGATTCAGGAGCTTATTAGAGAAGAGTTGAAACAAAGTACGGTGATTACTGTTGCGCATCGGGTTGAAGCGGTTAGGGGAGTGGATTGGTGTGTGGTGCTTGAGAAGGGTGGAGTGAAAGAATTTGGTGAGGCCGGTAAAGTTGGTAAGATGAATGAGGAGCAGATTGATACTCCTCCTGGGGATAGGAGTGGAGAAGAATAGATATTGGCAAATCTCAGTTGTAGAGCCCGGGTGGGTTGAAGATATGAGAATTGCGTTGAAATCTTTGAGATAGTGCGTTGGAAACCAAAAGGCGTTAGATCTCCACTTATGGATGCATTCTTTCTTATAGACGATAGCTCAGCTTGCAGGTGTGTATGGGACACAGCAAAGTGATTTATCGATTTATCGGGGAGCATATCACGTAACTGCGGTGCAAAATTGGAATGATATGCTTTATTAGACCTGCACTCAGATATATCTAGACAATAATTCTAGAACTGAGGAATAGGATAGTGAGTTATAAAACCATTTTATACACAGCAAACAGTATGATATAAAGAACTGTGATCTTGCATATAACTGTACATCTTCTCAATTATATCAATCACCTCAGAAAGCGATACTTGGTTTAGAGGTGTAGTTGGACTTCAGCGAGAAAACACCACCGCCCAAGCAAAAATTTGAGCAACGGAACAATTTCGGAGATTGATTTTTCATTCTCAGCTTGTCACATGATTCAGATAGGCAACATTCCTCATCGGAGAGTTCTGAGAATTTGTGCACACTCTTGTACTCTTCTAATTAATTGAAAATGATTTTTCCAAATGTAGAGATAGAAGGTGGTATGGAGTTTGGATAATGTTGAGGAATTTACACTTTGATTCAGAATATGTCACATGACATTCCGCTTTTGGGAGTTCTCTTTTGGATATCTTCCACGCGTCCGCTGTCCTGCATTCGACGTGAATATCAATTTGCACATTGTGGTTCGGAGTCTTACAGATCAAAGAGATAAGACAGTATCTTTTCATAAGCATGAAGTTGACAATTGACAATTGGGAGAAGCTGTGTACGGTTTACCGTCATCAAATTGATTGATTTGGATTGCGTTCCAATATGTTTGAGTAAATCTTTTGCTCTATATTACCAGACAATGGAATGCATATCTCCAACCCATCCGCCGTCTTCTCGAAAATGGTTCCCAACTATCCAGCAATCTCATAGCTGGCAAGATCGTGGAAGGTTCCATGTTCATGTTTATGATATTGTCCTTTACGAGGATGAGCATGGTTCAGTATTGGAATTCGTTTGGTGACTTACGTGGAATTTCATGTCTCTTATTCACACAGATTGATGATTTGTGATCCTCAGGATCTCTCATACATACCAGGTATCAATTTCCATCCTCTCCATTCCATATCACCCCCCCCCCCCCCCCAAGCCTCTAATTGAGCTTCCTCATTCCGAGCTCTACTCATTCAATTCGTGCTTCCAAACGCCCGACGCCAATTTTCCCAAAACCAAAGAACAAAGACTCAGCTCGAGCTTTACGCACTCCCGCTAACCTTGATCTCCACCGATTTTCCCTGATCTACAGTTGAAGAATGTCTCGCCCCGACTCTCTCCATCGAATTCTCAATTCCATCTTTAACACAAGCACCACTACTCGAGCTCACAGTCGATCCATAAACTGATCCTGTATCATCCCCATGTCGATGTCCTCCAGTATGCAGAGACATTCTGATAGCCTCCTGCTTCTCCGCCGCCGGAGTATATAATTCAATATATATACTTGAACGCGCGGGCATCGTGTTTGAATTTTCGAATTCGACGCAAGTAAAAATAGATGATATATCAAACTGATCTATAATCACGAATCAAAAGTTTGAAACAATGGTTATAGTTTCTTTATATGTATCTCTCTGGAAGAAAACATATCTCAAAGGGCCGAACCCGACCTCGTATTATCATACGCAACACTGTTATCATTCTTTTGAAAGAGGTTTCTCCCGTCAGAGATGGAGCTCGCTCCACTTTCCTTACATACTAGGTATTGGAATTTGGCCAAATCGATATCCACATATCCAAGCCGTAAGCCTGCAGTGATATGACCAAGTTATCGTCTCACCGTTGAGGCAAGAAATATTTTCTTCCGTGCCGCAATGCATTTTCTAGTGGGAGGGGAAATGTAAGCAGTATGCATGCATGCATTTATTTGTTTCGAATTATTGTTTTTAATGATTGTCAGTGCGATCATATCATGAGATGTATGCATGAGAATTTTAACATCCCGGAAGTTTGATGTTGTAGTTTTTTTTGAATTTTTGATGTTCCTCAACCAATCGGGAATTTGGAGGATGATATATTAGAGTTTGTCATGGGAAATAAACCAAACCGAAGTGTCGGTGAGAATAAGAACGACTATGAGATCATATTACACAAACTCTCTTCTGCGTAACTCTCATCACCTCTAGGTACTGCTCCAGGATATCTATTCGCAAACCATACTCCGTAAAGGATCATGATGGATATCCTCAACTCACCACCTACCAATCAAGAATCAAACCCAAACTTCTCGTTCCACACAAAATCACAATCCTCATGATTTTTTCCCAGGCCAAAAATTCTCATCTCATCTCATCTCATCCTCCCCACTCTATCTTATATCTTATGTAATACGCAAAGCAAAGCAAACAGCACAGTACAGTACATGCACACAATCACATCACATCTCACATCTCACATACGATCCCCTCACCTCTTCACCTCCTCATCTATTTGTTCATCCATCACGATCCCAAATATCCGCTTTCGTTGGTTTGTTTCTAAAGCTTGGCGGAACATCACAGCGGTAATGTCAGATAAACTTATACGGCTGACATAAGATTAACTTGAACACCTACCTACTGTATTCCTCCTTGCAATATAATTCAGCTCTCACGGATCACTCATATACACACACACATAATATCGTATTAAAACCATATAATCACATACCCATATCACATCCCATGCGGCTCTTCTCTATTCTATATACCCATCCTTACCTCTCCAAGTAAACAAACAACCTAGGGGCAAAAAGCCTTGTAGGGAAATCAGATGTAAGCAAATCGTAAGCAGCCAGCCAAGTATTTATTATTCTTTGAGGAAATTTTATTTGGGGGCCGTCTTATTTTCTTGGCGGGGGTGAGGAGATAGATATAGATATAGTGTATTGGAGTGTCTTGTATTGTATAGTGTGGTGTTGTAATGTGATATAAGCAATTTGTTTAGATATGGTATATCAGTTATTTTATTATTAACTTTATTGCTTATATTAATGAGAGAGAACGAGATAATCTCTTATAAACCTAAATCTCAAATCTCAATATATTCATTTTTTTCTTATTTAGTTATTCTTTATTTTTTTAGGTACAGAAAGAACACGAAAACGAAAATGAAAACGAAGCAGAAGATTTTATATTACATTTCAAGAGCTTGCTCTTCCCACACCTCCTCCACCTTACACTTCTACTCTCCAACTCGCGTTTCCGCTATCTTTTCCTGTCTTCCCCTACTCTTTCCCCCACCCAGTTCTCTTTTCCCTTTTCCCTTTTCCCTTTACCCTTTACCCTTCCCCAATTCCCCTTCCACTTTCCCAATCCTCATTCCTCTTCTCCTCTTCTCCTCCTCTCCCCCTCTCCTCCTCTCCCCCTCTCCTCCTCTCCCCTCTCCTTCCCTCCCCTTCCCAATTCCCCTACCCCAATCCTCAATCCTCAATTCGATTCCAATCCTCATTCCTCATTCCTCTTCTCCTCTCCTCCCATTTTCCCTTTCCATTTCCCCTTCCCCAACCCTCCAATCGTTATCCCAATCTCAACCCCAATCCCAACCCCAATTCCGATCTCAACTCTGATTTCGATTCCAACATCATACCTATTCATACAAACATCAGATCAGATTCCCAAAATCACTATTCATTTTCTCATTTTCCTATATACACATACACATACACATACACATACATCACATACACACATTCCCATTCCCATTCCCATACACACTCTTAATCAAAATCTTATTCTTATTCTTATTCTTATTCTTATTCTTATTCTTATTCTTATTCTTATTCTTATTCTTATTCTTAGAAGTAAAGTCTATACAAGTTACTCATATCACGCGCTACCTACCCCATCACCATTTCGATTCGATTCGGATTCGGGATCGGGTTTGGATTTGGATTTGGATTTGGATTTGGATTTGGATTTGGATTTGGATTTGGATTTGGATTTGGATTTGGATTTGGATTTGGATTTGGATTTGGGATGTTGGATGTTTACGTATATATGTGATTGTATATTATTATATTATATTGAATATATACAAATTATATTAGAATATACTATATGAGAATATACTATATGAGAATATACTATATGAGAATATACTATATGAGAATATACTATATGAGAAATATACTATATGAGAATATACTATATGAGAATATACTATATTAGAAATTAACTCTGTACCCAAATCACATCACTACACATATTACTATACACACCATACCTATCTAATCTAGTATTCAAGAAGATCCATCCATCCAATCCATCCATCCATCCATCCATCCATCTATCTATCTAATCTATCTATCCATCCATCCATCCATCCATCTATCTATCTATCTAGCTATCTATCTATCTATCTATCTATCTATCTATCTATTTATCTGTATATCGTGAGATTCGATTCGATTCGATGAGATGGAGTACATATACATATACATACATTTAAATGGCATCTTTAGTATTCGTAAAGAAATTGATTATCCCATCTATACTACCTAGTATTTCATATATCCATCCATACATATCCATACATATTCATACCCATATCCATATCCATTATTCTTATACACCTGTATATAGAAATCAATACTAAAATTGGAGTATCCCTGTACGCCCTACCCATATAAAAATTTCCATATATATAAATACACATATCCATCACGAACTCCTCAACCTCGACTCTCCACTTCCCATCCCCGTTCTCTCGACCGAGAATTCAAAAAGGCCCACCCCGGCCCCCTCCTTCCCCACCATACGTTCCTCCCACTCCTCCTCGTCCTCTCCCTCCTTCCCCAGATCCCCAGGTAACTCTCTCAATTCTCCTTGGACCTTCCAACTCCCCGTCATGCCTACTTGCTCCCAAACTTCTCCCCACAATCTCACCCATGAATCCGCATCATGGAGCCATCTCCCCTGTTCCCCCGTTCCACCTCCTTGTTTCCCCACCATGCACCCGACGAACAGGGCGCCCTCGGTGTTTTTGAGGAGTTTGACTATATTAGCGCAAACGAGGAGTTGTTGATCCCAGGTGAAGAGATGCATGAAGAGAGAAGCGTGGATGATGGAGAAGGAATGGATGTGGTTTCTGAAAGTGAGAGTGAAGAAATTGGGGTCGAGGATGTTAGCTGGAAGGAGGGTGAAGGATTGAGACGGGGATTGGGATTGGGGCGGAGAGGCATCAAGAAAGATTTTGTAGGAGGATTTTAGGAAGGAGGCGTTGTAGTCTGTGCCGTAGAGTTGGGAGGGAGGGATACGGGCATGGTGGGCAAGAGAACGCAGTCTAGATTGTGTTAGCTTAGCTTTGGTGGTGGATTTGTATTTCAGTATCGATTTGAATATGAATTTGGGGGCGAAAAGTAACGGTTGGAGAAGAATGTTTGGAGTAGTAAGTGGGTATGAGAAGAAGAGATGAGGTGAGAGATGATGGATCAAAAATGGAACAATGATAGATGAACATACTCCTGAGCAACACAACAACCGAGATCAAGAAAAAGAGCCGGTGGATTAGAAGGCGTAGATGGTGTGGAGAGAATCTCAACGATGCGGGGATAGAGTGGGTGGGTCAGTAGACGCAAGGTTAGGAAGGAAAAATTGCCGATGGAAGGGTAGGGGGTTTGATTCCAGAGGAGATCGCGCTATGTATAGATTGAGTGTCAGTTATTTAGACATTTTTTCTACGGGTAAGGTAGGTAGGTAGGTAGGTAGGTAGATATTTGTTCTAGATTTATCCCTTGTCTCTTCATGACATTTTTTTTTTTTTTTAGCTCTCTTTGGAGAAATGTCTCATTCTCTCACTCAAAACAGAATGAATTGAAAGACATGAAAGAAAAACCAGAAAGAAATAGGATAAAATGATAGGAATATATTCCTAGAAATCTTACATACCATTTTATACACATGCGCATCTACTTCCTCGGGAGGTATGTGACTATAATTCTCCAACAACTCACGTGCTTCCGGACCTAGACGTTTTCCAATGGTGGTATGATACCATGGTTTCGAAGTCGAATATTTATCGAATATAGGCGTTACTATTGAATTTGTCTTTGATTTTGATGTGAATAGAGGAAGACATGGAGACTTCGAGGTAGTTGTTGAAGGTGGTGGTGAAGGAGGAGGAGTACCGAAGTCGAAATGTGAGGAATGAGGGGAAAGAGGATCTTTCATCATGAATTCTTTGGTGTTTATGATAGCCATGAGATAGAGACACCTGATGACGGGATATATGTGGTGAGAGAGATGGTCCAGAGGGTGCAAATGATATAAATTTGGGTGAAATATTGTTGTAAAAAAGAAGGCGATTCAATCGATATGCCCAGGTGAATCGGATACTGAAAGAAATGAGGTTATTCACCCAAATGAATGAATAAATCAATATCTACTCGTAACTTATAGGTAAATCGGCGATAAAGATATACAAGTGAAACAAAACTCCGTTGGTGGGAAGTTATTTAGCATTTATCCCAAAGAAAATCCAAGGTTACAAATACATACAGAGAGAATAAGTGAGCGAGTGAGTGAGTGAGTGAGTGAGTACATACAATACATGCAATTCATTCATTCATGCATCCATTCAACCATTCATCTCTTGGAAGTTCTAGAAAGATTCCCAATCCAGCCAGATAGGACAGGGCTGAAAGTATATTATATACCTAGGTACATATAGGTACATATACGGAGAATATATAGAGGGACCTGTGTATTGGTAATAGGTATATATGTATCACCCAATCCTCTAGGACGGGATCTTTTTTTGCTTTTCAATACTTGCTTGCTACGATCTACCTGGATGATACCTACGATAGGTCAGTGTTAAATGATTGATTGGTAAGAGATTGCTGACTTGAAGTTAAATTTGTGCACATACAATATTAATTCTGAAGCAATGCTTTCCAGGACCCGTCGCTCTTACTGGCTGGTGCATTCTTTGTTTTTTCGAATATTCTTGGATTTCATCGCATTCGGTAAATGGTCAGGGCAGTGGGAGATCTGTTGTCGAGTGTGCACTGGACTTTTTGATGGGAGTTTGGTGATGTGAAAAGTAGGTAATGTTCATGCGAAGAAGTGGAGAACGGGCAATTTGTATGATGAATGGGTTTGATGGAGAGCTCGAGAGTGGTGTTGTGTCTGTGATAAAGAATGGAGGGTGGAAGTGGAAGAATCTACGAGGGAGGTCCACGTCGTCTACGATAGATGAAGATTGATATATGGATGGATGGATGAATGGATGGATGGATGGTACCGGTAGTACTTCGTGTGGATAAATGCTCTTGTACTGTATGCTTCGTAGTAGAATCGAGGGAAATGAATGAGACGGGACCGAAAGTTAAAAGAAAATGTATGAAGAAGTGGCTGATAGCTGTGGCTGATATCGTAAATAGCAATAAATATAAAATAACTTGTACGACTCAAGATAGAAGATAGAATATATACTTTGTAAAAGAGAAGCTTATTTTATTATTGCACACACTATCGATGAAAGCTTCACCGCGCATATCAATATTTAAACCCAAAGATAGAATAAAGGGGGAAAGATTGGCACTAGATGAGAGTGAGAGAAAGATGTACCGAGTACCTGTTCTTCTGTCTACTCCGTACAATATCCAAATACAAGATCTCCAAGGATGGGGCTGAGGCCGGAAATTATCTAAATCTCAAGTCCGCAGATCTAGCTCCTAGAATAATTACCAATTCGGCGCCCACAGAGTAGACATCTTATTATTAATGCTTGTCAATAAATTTCTAATCAATATTGGATACTGAAGCCTCACGACCAGTCTCGATATATTTACGCATAAAGGGAACTTGGAGATTTAAACCACTGCGATTCGATGGAAATGATATAAAGATGCGTACAGTCACTTGTGCCGTCGCAAACATTCCTTGATTCCCATCGCAATACATTAATCATGGAATTCATGGCCATTCAAACGACTCACGGCATGCATGGACGTTGCATGTAGAGCTGACATCCAGTCGCAATCTTGGGGATTCATCGTGTTGAAACGCATTGTCTTGGATGACACATGGCCATCATTATTCCTGATGCTGTTTTGACTCCAAATCCATTTCTTCTTCGTACCTAGAATGTGCGAACGTATGTGAATATATAAATACACCAAAAATATCAGAAGCAATAAGAATTTTGGAACTTTGAAAGCTAGGGTAAGCTTGTTTTTTTTGAAATTATATCATTGATCATATCAATCCACATCACCAAGCTTCAAATCGCGCAAGGTCCTGTGTCGGGAACGTCGTGGCATTGATTTACTTTTCCGTAGCTATTGCACATGATTTTCATGCTGCTTTTCCAGTATTCATATGATCACAACCCTCCTGATCAACATCCCGAAAACCACATGCACCCCTTGTACGATAAAGAACCCATTTAGAATTTGCTGAAAGACTTGACAGCCTTGCCAGTTCGGGGAAGGACACGGAGAACATTGAAACGGACCTGTTATAGTTATATTAGTTAAGTTCATCTTTTCTGCTTTGTGGGAATGAAATATAATCCATCAAGAGAAATCTGAGTGTTTGCGCAATTGATTACGTACGGTCTTGCTCAATGGTCTGCATTGTCCAACTGTGACTTGATCACCCTCCTCAACACGGAAAGCTGGGGAAACGTGGGCAGCGAGGTTCTTGTGTCTCTTCTCATATCTGGCGTATTTTGGGATGAAGTGGAGGTATTCTCTGCGGATGATGAGGGTACGGTGCATCTTGGTGGAAACAACAGTTCCGGTCAAGATACGACCACGGATAGAAACGAGACCGGTGAATGGGCACTTCTTGTCTGTTGAGAATTTCATGTTAGCATGGCGCTCGATTTCGATTCAAATTTCGCCATTCCCCCCATATTTCATTTCACCACTTGAAATCCTCCATCTCCCATCTCGAACAAATATGACCCAGCCTTCAATTTCCCGAGTCGCGTTGTTTAATTCCACCTCGATTCCAATAACCCGTAGAAAATTCCACATACCGATGTAGCTTCCCTCAATGGCGGTCTTTGGGGTTCTGAATCCCAATCCAACGTCCTTGTACCATCTGCGGCCACCCTTTCCAACCTTGCTGGACTTGGTCTTCGACTTAGAGTTAAGGAAGATGTGAGGTTGCTTTTGGAAAGCGCGCTCCGATTGTACGGTAAGTTCGGTGGCCATGGCTGCGAAATTTGGTCGATAGGTCGCAAATTCGTGGTGGTCGTCGATAGGAATGTCGATTGAAGGCTTCTGTAAATTTCCAATTTTTCTCGAAATGTGTGTGCCGCTAAGGTAATCGGCTAAGCGAGGATGCTCTTGTGAAGGTCATGTGATTGAATAAAAAATTATTATGAATATTCAAGTTGTGAATTATATTCCGAAGTTAAACCGAGTTTCTCGTTTGGATCAGAACGCGACTTGTTTGTTTACTTTGAATAATTTGGGGGTTGTTTCATTTTCGGCATAGCAACATTACGACAAGAGTTCTACCATTATTCCCCCAAACTTCATAACTAACATATAGGGAGTAATTTATGATACCTTGACATAATTGACATTCGACGACATTCGAAATGTCTTCCTTAGAGGAAGCCACACTTCCCGCGACTCGTCGCCCAAAATCAAGAAAATCATTATCCGCAATACCTGCAGATAAAGAAAATATGACGGCGGAACTTGGGGCTCTTACTGGGAAAAGAACACCAATCGAGAAGCCTGCAAAGAAGAAGAGGAGTAAGAGTATAGGTCCTGGCGGGCTAGATGCACTGAAAGATACTACTGGGAATCGTCGCAAGGTAAGCACCTCACAATGTGGGAGTCGAGAGCCTTGCTAAATACATGTATAGTCTCTGGCTACGATACCTCAACCACCTCCAAGATCCATCCTGAAACCTACTATGCCACCTCTTCGTGAGATTCCGGCGCATAACCCCAACAAAAAGTCGAATCCGAAAAAGGCCAAAACACCTTCACCACCACTTCCAGGCTCTGAATTGTTAATCGACTTTGGCGTTGACGCTGGATCAAAGGCTTCAGGCGCCGAAACGCTTGATGATCCATTCCATATCGAAATGCCGAAGACCAACAGTGATAATCGAGTCGCATTGCGAACGGAGGAACAGCAACAAGCTGCTGCTAGAGAGAGGGAAGAGAAGGAAAGAGCTGATATGCAGAAAGAAGTTAATGCCAGACGAGATGCTCGTCGAAAGTCTCTTGCTAATCGACGTGTTTCATTTGCGCCTGAAGCAACACTTCATACTTGGGATGTTGTTGTAGAATATCAAGATTCCACCACATCGTCCAATTCCACAAATTCCACCCGCCGGGCCTCAAATGTTACTGGGGACTCTGTCACTACCCCGCACCAACCAAATTCTGGACCACCTAGCTCAGACCCTTCGGAGCCTCCATCAACACCACCTGAACAAATCGAAGATGACACAGCAAATGGATCACCAGAACATCAACGCGACCTACATCAGAAGAAGCGCCGCAGAAGTTCTGTCATACCTCCTATGAATTTCAATGACCCCAACGATGCTTTCTCATCCAGTCCTTTGAGTGGGAGTTCCGTGGGCGCTGAAGATATCGAAGAGGATGAATTTGCTTCTAGTGATTCGGATGATGATGACGATGGGACCCGAATGACTGTGGATGGTGGAGAAACAACAAATATGTCAATGGCATCAGTTCAATCAGGCTTCAGCGTTGGTTCAGATACGATGCTGGAACAATCTTTAAGGCGAGCTGCAAACCAAGCTGGTACACCAGCAATGAGTTTCGATGAACAAGGAGATACCAAAATGAGTGAAGACAATGAGATCGTTGCATCCTTTGCTCCATGGGCGAAGAAAGCCCCTCTAGAATCACAAAAAGACCAAGAGAATGTAAATCCTTTCTCATCAGCAGCCAAATCTGATATTCAGCTAGATGCTGAACAATCAGATGGAGAAGAGATGACAATGGATATGGATATGACAAGTGCAGTTGGTAGAATCTTACCAGGGCAACAACGAGAAGATGATGAGCTTTCTATGGATGTCACCCGTGCTTTTGGTGGTATTATTCCCAACAATCAATCTGGAGCAAAACTCAATCCAGCAGGTCGTCGTCAAAGTACTCGTAGAATATCAGCAGGTGAAGAATCGGCATTCGGAGAACAGACCATGGACTTGACTAGTGCTATAGGTGGAATCCATGCAACTCAAGATGATGAGGAGGTTTCCGAAGATGAAGACATGAGCATGGATTTTACGTCGGCAATTGGTGGCGTACTATCACAGCCAGCTGCGGCCAAGAACAAGAGACGAGCATCCACGGCTTCAAAGGCAAAGTCAAGCCAAAACCGCGAAAGCTTGGATTCTGCGGCCGGTGATGAAACGATGGGAATGGATATGGATATGGACATGACTACTGCAGTGGGTCGTATCATACCTTCGACGAGGGATGAGACCGAGGAAATGGATATGGATATGGATGTGACAGTTGGTATGGAAATGACAAAGGCTTTAGGTGGTATTCTACCGCGATTGAATGCTGGAGATCGAAATCAAGCCAAGAAGATTATGGAAATGGAAACAGATCTTGGTAGTTCACCATTCCGAGTAGATGTCCCCGCCAATTCTCCACCAAAGCCCATTAATCACAATGCTTTGACTGTGGCACCAGAAACTGGCAGCCCAAGCTTCACAGCCGGATTCAAAGGAAAGGGTCTTCGTAGAAGCATGGAGCGAATCTCTACAACGCCCAAGTCTACACCTAATTCGAAGATGTTAACGCCAGTCAAGAAACCTACTACGCCACAAAAACAGCTCACTCCACAACCTGCTCAACCATCTCATCCTGGCAAAACTCCACCATCCAAGAACATTCTCATGCGCACAGGATCACCAAAGAGACTTTTCAAGCCTGATCTTAGAGAATCGTCTTCTACTCCTCGTACAGCTTCAAGTAAACAACAAACACCCAATAAATTATTCAAGCAAGATAGCAATACAGGCCTTGCAACACCCAATTTTATTCTAACACCGCAAAAACGATTATCTACTGGCATTGGTCTCGATAGAGTTGGACTGGGGTCACCAAAAGTTGCTGCATTGTTGGACCGACGTGGATCGATTGGAGAACAGGCACGATCATTCACACCTATCCAGCCAGCGGATTTGAATCGTGGTGTACGATTCCAAGATCCTCGCATTATGGAAGCGGAAGTTGACAGAGAGAGAGAATTAGAAGAAGATAGAGAAAATGGTCGTAAGATAATGGAGCGTGAAGCGGATCAAGGTGAAGGAGAAGAAAAAGACGCCACTTTGAACCTCAAAGAAATGATCAGCAGTCTAACCCCTAAGAAGAAGTCAATGAAAGGCCGCAAGAGTTTGCATGCCGGTGCCGCGATTGGACTTTTGGGCAAACGACCCGCTGAGTTAGATGAGGATGATTCAGATTCAGATGAGAGTGGTATGAAGCGACTGAGAAATCATCAGGGCAGTCCTGTAAAGAACGTCCATCTCCAAGGGCCACCCACCAAGGAACAAACAACTACTGGTCGCCTAACTCGGTCAAGCCGAAAGAGTATAGAAGATTCGACAGTTCCTTCGATCACTCCTACTCTCAATACTTCGCCTATCAAGGACACGATCACCACACCACGTGATCAAGGACGTTTCAAAGATGCAGAAGCCAATTTGACTGAGCCTGTGGCAATTCCGTTCCAGGAGACAGAGCCAGTTGAATATCCAAAATTGCCCGAGGAATCCCTGGACAATGAACGCATACAGTTGCAGGATTTCTTAAACATGACAAGTATTCGATTCATGGAACTGACAACTACCAAACGAAGGCACACAATCGCACCAAAACGATCTAGTGATGGACCGATAAGAAATCGACTGTCGGATCAAACCAAGGTTTCTCTTGAAGATTGTGTTGCTGCGGGTGCTGCTACCATTCCTATGCTTGAGTTATTTCAACATGTAAGTTATCCACACGAATTCTTTTTGATAGCGTATGGCCATACTGACACACTTAGGCTTGTCATGAACTTAAAAAGTATATATCAGATGGCCGAAAAACAGTTCGCGAGATCGAGAGTGAAACCTTTGAGGAGAATCCCCCACTCTTCCGTGAATATATTTCTGCGCCGCCGGATATGAAGGTTGTCATGGATAATCAACTCAAGAATGTCAAGACGCATTCCCGTCTTCTCAGTAAAGGCATGTGGTATGATTGGCGATCAACGTTACTTGAGACTGTTAAGGATGAACTCGTAAGAAGTGCTGAAGGCATGATCAATGATGAAGAAATCCTTGACAAACAACAAGCACTGCTAGACGCTGTGCTTCCAAAGATGATTAAACGCGCTCAGCAACTCCAACATGAAGAGACCAACCTGAAGACTGCTGCTGAAGAAATTGCAAGCTGTGATCCTGAAGAGCTCAGTGAAGCTCGACAGCAGCTGATCACTGTTGAAGCTGATGTTGATGCAAAAAGGCACATGATTGAGGAATTGAAGAAACAGCTTCAAGCAAAGGAAATTGAGATTGAAGCTGGCACCTCAAAAAAGGAAACATATCTGGAAGAAATTCGTGAAGCGGAAAAGATTCGAGAGGAGTGCCGAGGTTGGAGTTCGAGCGAGCTTAGTAACCTTAAAGGTATATATTAGTTCCTGATCATAATCTATTGATGTCGCTAACAATTTTTTTTTATAGCAAAAGTGGATGCTCTCGAAAAGAAGCATGGTTGGACTATCACTGGTGTCTCTGGGACAACGACTTCGATGACTTATCGAAAAGAGATTGAACTTGTTTTCGACGCAGCTGCATTCAAGTCAAAAGCTTCGAGCAAGACTACAAAGCCAGCAAATTCAAGAATCGATCTTTGGTACATCGCCGCCAATCGAGAATACAATCCATTAACCCTCACCCCCGAAAAGGAATTTCTCCTCCAATGCATCCGTGATCACGTTCGAGGATTACCACAATCAGAAACCGAAATCAAGACTCTGCTCAATTCTGTTAGCGTCGCTTGGAACAAAGCAGCAAGAGTAGTGGATGATATTTATCTTCTAAATATAGTTTGCCCGACTGTTGTCACCAAAACATCAGATAACTCTATCCTCGTCAAATCGAAGTTATTAATTGCGGCTCTTAATACAAAGGTCGAATTAGCTTTCAGTCTCATTAGTCACAGCACAGACGAAGGATTTGATGTGGAGATTTCCCCAGTTGCAAAAGTAATTTATGGAGAAAGGTTTAATGAACCGAAGATGAGGGAGTTTCTTCTTAATCGACTCGGCAATTATGCTAAGGAGAAGGGAGATGGAACTAATGTTTCTTGGGGCTCAGCGGTAGCTGAGTTAGGGGATAAATTATTGGCGAGGGGAAGAAAGTAAGATGTATAGGATGGAGATATTGTGTCCTAAGTTTTGATTCAGCGATGGTTATTTAGTCTTGATGAGTTTAATGATGATTATGAAATGGGGATTTGATATCCATGGAGTAAGGGGTTAATGTTTATGTGGCAGCGTAGGGTATTTGATAGGATTTTAAGAATGGAAGTTAGATGTTTAGTCTTTGTTTTTGATTAATTCTTGTCTATTTATCATGAAAGATATGACTCTACCAGATGACTCTACCTAGCCTTTGTACCATTCTGATGATTGACTTGCATTTCTCTCTCGTGAAATTCAAGCTTTGTATCACATAGGTTCACCAGTGGGTGCATGGATTGACGGGACACTTTCCAACTTTCGAAAATTTTAACAAATTTGTTCTTTAATCATTTGATATAAGAATTTATATCTTGATTGTTTTGGTTCCAATGAATGATCATAAGAATTCTTAAGATATAGAATTTGACATAGTAAGAGACATTCACAAGTCCATTCTTGTGGTGTTCCATCAGTCTGTACACCCACTGGTGGTTCACTCAGCAAATGGAGATTCACCGCCTTTGTGCTTGCGGATAAAAGTGGTTTGATGAATATTGATGCACACCTGGAAGAAATGGTGACTGACTACAACTTACAATATACTGCTTTTAGATTTTAGATTCCGTATTTATTGTGTAATTGTTTATGTTCTACTACATATATTTTAGTCTATAGCTACCGAATATCAATGCATAGACTCTCGCTGGCGTCACAGCGACGCGAACCCTTGTTCAATCAAACGTCATAATTTATATACCTAGTAATATCCAATCCTAGCATAACAAACAGCTGAACCCAAACCTCCACAATATATATGGTATCATTCCGAAGCTGAATATATTCTCAATTCAATCTTCCTTTCGTCTTCATTGAATTCGATTCATCATGCAAATCATCAATATCCTTTCTCTGACATTCCTCCTGTCTAACGTCAATGCCTTATATCTCTCAGCTGAACAACATCCGCTCACACCACCATCTTCCCCCTTACTACCACCATCCCGAATACAATCGATTCCTCAACCTCTTATCGGTTTCGGAACATGGAATCTAAATCTCTCTCCTGAGAATACAACTGAAGCCGTCGCGTACGCAATTGAAATTGGTTATCGACAAATTGATTGTGCGGCTGCGTATGGGAATGAAGTGGCGGTAGGACAAGGAATTAAAGATGGATTGAAGAGAGCTGGCTTAAAGAGAGAGGATATTTGGGTGACGAGTAAACTTTGGAATGATCGGTATGTCGTTATCATCATTTTATCTCTCACGTGGTTGTATGAGTTGGGAATGATTGATTGAGGGTTATCTTGGTAGAAGGTTAACTAATTGTTTGATGAAATAGTCATGGAAGTTATGAAAATGTGGAAAGGGGGTTAAATCAAACTCTTCGAGATCTAGATCTCGAGTATCTGGATTTATATCTCATACATTGGCCTATTGGCTTCTCATCTAATGGAACCAAGAATCCCGACCACGTTCAGGTTTGTCTTGATTTTCTCCACGTCCTCGAATTCCAACTCACACGGGATAGACCTACAAATCCATGATTTCCCTCCCCAAATCTCGTGTGCTCAATATCGGGGTATCCAATTTCTCCCCGCTCCAACTCAAAAATGTCGTGTCGACTGGTACGATGCCATATACGCATCAAATGGAACTCCATCCCTATCTGCAACAATCAGCGTGGGTAGCGACGCATAAAGCTCTCGGTATTAAAATGACAGCTTATTCTCCATTGGGAAATACTAATCCGACTTATCATTCATCTCCTTCCCCAGCACTCTCATCATCTTCTTCGTGGACATCATGGACATCCCTCTTCCGCCTCACCTCAAAATCAAAAGCCCCACCTCTCCTCCAAAACCCCATTCTCCTCGACATCGCCGAACAAAGAAATTGTTCCCCAGCTCAGGTAGCACTGAAATGGAATATGGGGAGGGGCGTTAGTGTGATTCCGAAAAGTAGCCATGAGGAATGGATTAAGGAGAATTTGCACGCGGAGGAGTGTGAGTTGACGCATGCGGATTTGACAAAGTTGAGGTTTGTGGGGAGGAAATGGTTGAGTAGGTTCAATAATCCCGGGGAGGAATGGGGAGTGACACTTTTTGAGGGATTGGAGGGAGTTTAGAGATTAAGGGATTTAGGGATTTAGTGGGTGTTGAGAGGAGAGGGGGAATGGTAGGAAGTACAGTAATTGGGATTTTTTCGGAAGGTGTTGGGATTTGATCTGTGTTTATGGTTTACAAATGGGTTTAAGTAATGGGTCTGGGAATTGAATTTGGTCATCTAAATGTGTTGTTTCTTGATGAAGGGGAGGGAATATGGGTACATGCTCAACAGTACATGAAAAGGTTATGAGCCACAGCGAAACTTTCGTCAAGGCCACCGCAACTCTACACAGGAAGTACGCAAATGACTCGGGTACCTGCAGACTCTTGCACAGCCCTTTTCTACATCGTGTGTAGATCCAATTTTACTATTTCCCAATCCATCAAAGAGTTTTCGAATACTCAGGAGACTCGAGTCTTCGTTAGTATAGTAGACTTGCCATTGACTATTCGTCTATCTATGAGGGAGAGGCAGAAAAGCTCACATATATAATCATCATTCCATATCCTCGTATACCTGAGCCCGAGTCCACGAAGAAGTCTTCCTAGCGAGAAGTGATTTATTGAACATGATCTGAGAGAATGGTATATTAATATTTATCCTCTGGGCGCACTCACTCACTCGCTCGCTCGCTCCCTATATCTGAGAATTCGACGCGTCCTCGGTGAAAGTTTACCATGTAATTTCTATTCCCTGGTACGAGTTGATGATAATCCAGAAGATCGTCACAACTGCCTACCTAGATACCGAGAGCCAAACCCATAAAAGTAAGCCTAGTCGACTCCAAGATGGGTACATTATACTAGCTCGATCTTGGCATGTGAAGGGGTCATAGTATCCCAAGTATTCGGGAACGGGTGCTGACTTTAACTTATACTATACCATATCTACGATTGCGTTCTTGAAAATCGTGGGATTTTGGAGGACAAGTTGAGTTGTTTATGATGGATTTTGTATCTCGTTCCTATACTATTTGGCTACTCTGAGATGCAAGATCTACATAGATTTGCTGGGCCTTTCTTTGGAATGCAGAGACTTTGTTGATACCGGTGGTCTGAAGTTACATTGTTGAGAATTGATTTTATACGTGATGATCATTTTTGTCAATAAGAAAAAGGGTCATCGAAAGGAATCTATTTCCTCTAGAGGTTGAAGGTGGGTAAGGATGACAAGTTGACAAATTGACATGGAGGCGGGGAGACGGGGCGAGTAGGCCTACGATGAAAGAGTCAAATACAATCTGAAGGTTCAATGAACCAGTAAAACTCTTTCTAGAAAGAGAAGAGGGGCAAACCAAAGGCTTCGAAAGTCAAATCTCGAAAGTTCTGAAATCTTCATATGTGGCAACGCCTGCGCTAGTTGACATCGTGAAGTGCCTCATTTTTGTACATTACTCTTCCTCCCCCCTGTAGTCTAATCGTTAAGCAGTGAAGTTGAGATAGTAAACACTACTCTTATGATACTAACAAGCAAATTATACATGATCACATTGTGGATGGAGAAACTAGGAGCCCAAGCTCGGCAAAATCGAGACTCTTGTAAAAAATACTATTACTTTAAAATGGAATGAAAAATCAGGAAAGTATGGAAAATTGTATGAATTAGAAAGCAGTCATTATTTATAAGTTTTCAATACTTTCATATAGATTTTATTCAGAAAGATTGATGATTTAAGTTGATAGGGAGTTTGGAAGATGTGGTAACTTTCTGGCGTGCTAGTTTTTTCGTCCACCGTGTGATGATCTTTACAATGATCCCTCTTACCAGTACCCACATTTGCCTAGTTCGGTACGTATTAACCTTAATGCTAGCGCTGGGAGGAAGTGCCTCGTATCTCGTATGTCGTATTGACCCCCCCGATAGGGTTAAACGAACAAAGTTATCCACTTATACCTACTCACTTCTTCACATTCTACTCAATATCTCGTGCAGCATTGCAAATTATGCAGGAAATCACTTACCTTGCTGTAATTTCCTCAACGGAAAATATCATCATCAATATCGCTTTATCAAAGTTCAATGCTCGTATCAGATACGACGGTAGTCGCGATGGTTCATGTATATAAACATTCAATTCATCGCCTGGAAGAATATTCACTCATCACACTTTCTTCTTCTCCATTCCCCAGAACAAATCATCTTCTCGCCGTCGAGCTGAAAAAAACACAATGACATCTCCGTGTAATATCTCTGCTATCCCCTATCCAGATTTACCCGGTGCTTCATTTCTCTCTGGAACAGCAGTACCAGTTCTAAACTATACCGCCTCAATCTTACCACTCAACCAAGGCTCCGCTGTCAATATCACTTCACTCGATTTCTGTAATGTAACACTGACATATACGCATCCGGGTCAGAATGATACTATCAATGTCAAAATCTTCCTGCCTTCATCTTCATCGTGGAATGGTCGATTTATGGGAACAGGCGGTGGTGGATTTGATACCGGGGCCATCGACACTTCTATGACTCCTCCGGTGTCTGAAGGCTACGTTGCAGCTGGCACAGATGGGGGACACTGTGTTGGCAACGATATTACCAATCCCACTGCATTTTATGCCAGCGATTGGGCGCACGTGTCACCTGGAAATGTCAATCTTTATTTACTTCAAGATTTTGCTTCGGTTGCCTTGAATGATATGACGATCATTGGAAAGTCTGTTGCAGCTTCTTATTACTGAAGAAATCCAGATTACTCATATTGGAATGGCTGTTCGACAGGTGGGAGACAGGGTATGATGATGGCTCAACGCTACCCAGAAGGGTACGATGGAATCCTAGCCGGTGCGCCCGGCATCAATTGGGCAAACTTTGTCCCCGCTATGTACTGGCCTCAATTTACCATGAACCAACTCGGAGTGTATCCCAGTGCGTGTGAAATGGACGCGATTACCGCTGCCGGCATCCAGGCGTGCGATGGCCTGGATGGTATTGCAGATGGTATCTTGAGTACACCCAAACTCTGCAATTTTCACGCCAATTCCACAGTCAGGAGAAAGGTCAGCTGCGCAGATGGAAGTGCATTGACGATTTCCGCGGAAGCAGCCATGGTGGCTCAAGCGGCTTGGGATGGTCCCCGAGACGAGGATGGAAGTTTCCTGTGGTACGGATTGAATCCTTCGAGTCCTCTCGGCCTCGGGACCGCCCTCACGATTTGCGCCGACGGAAATTCAAACTGCACAGGCTGGCCCGTTCCATTCGGGCCCGAATGGATCAGTCTCTTTGTTGTGAAAAATGCATCGTTTGCGCTTGACAATGTCACCCAGCACGAATTTGCACGGCTCATACGTTCATCTGTCGAACAATATGCATCGATCATCGGAACGGCGGATCCCGATCTCTCGACATTCAAAGCAACGGGAGGGAAGATTCTCATGTGGCACGGTTTGTCGGACGAAATCGTTCCTCCACCTGGAACCGAAAAGTACTATCGCGAAGTCGAGCAGAGGGATCTGAATGTGCGAGATTATTATCGACTATTTGAAGCGCCGGGTGTGCAGCATTGCTCTGGGGGGAATGGACCGTTTCCGACGGATTTGATGGGGGCTTTGATTAAGTGGGTTGAGGAGGGCGTGGCGCCCGAAGTTGTGGAGGCCAGAATCGCTGCGACGGGTAATGCGACGGAGATTGTGAGGCAGTTGTGCCAGTATCCGTTGGTGCAGAAGTATGTCGGTGGGGATTCTAATGTGGCGAGCTCGTTTGTGTGTAGTTTGGAGTTTTGATGAGGGTGTTGGGTTGGGTTGTAGAGGTGAGATGGGGGTTGAGATATTTGGTGAGGTGATTTGGTGAGATGATGTTGATGTTGATGTTGATGTTGATGTTGATGTTGATGTTTGATGTTGGATACTGGATGCTGGATGTTGGATACTGGAAAAGATAAGCCTTTCGATTCGATGTAATGAATTCCATTGTACTTTAATCTGCCACTATTTATTATTACTTCTTTAGACACACATATATATACTTTATTTATACAATATAATACAAAAGTCTTGATTTACATCTCGAGCCAAATGATCATCTTGATGAAATCTCCCTTCCTCTTGTGTATAGTAATCATTAGGCGTTACTATCTACCTATCTATCTAGGTAGCTTACTTCCATCCCACACTTCCCTCAAAATCCTCACTCATATCTATTCCATACACCAGAATCCATTCAAACCTACCAAATAAATATCTCCCCTCCATTCCAGAAATCCACGTGATCATACCCATCACCGAAGCCTTCGGCCCATCCAAGTAACAATAGGTACCTTCACCTCCCGCCCCCTTCCCCCTTCCACCCAACCCGAAACTCTCGGCCCGACCACCACCCAATATCAATACATCCATGCGAACCCAAACCATCAACCGGGAATAAAAATAAAAAGTTTTCTTATTCCCAGACGATGTAATTCTTTTACAAAATTGGTTTAAATGTGCTGGTGAACGAGGAAGGTGAAGTATTTTTGAGATGTGCAACAAAAGATTTCTTGGGAGAGGGAGCCAATGAGAGGGAGGTAACGTGATGATGGGGGTTTGGTGTTTATGATGAGTAATTGCACTGGCTGGGTATTGGGTATTGGGATGTTCTGGATGGGTAGGTGTATGGTTGATATTCATATAGCAATAATGTAAATCCAGGTGGGTACTCGATGATGGGAATAAAGGAGTAAAAGATCGATATCTGGGTTTGGGATGGATGTGATATACGTATCTAACCTTGGAAGTATGGAATACTGATGCTGTGTTTTTTGGCTCTGGGATTTGCGTGTCATATCACTTCACGTTGGATTCATATTAATGGTTTATTGTTTGTATGGGTGGAACTTGTAGAATGGGTTACTTTGGATGATGGTTTATATATGCGTTTATTGTATATAGATAGGTAGATGGATTGTATGGAGATTTCTTGGATGGAGGGTACTCAGATGAGGTTGATTGTAAGATTATACTATCTTGACTTCACTTCAAGCTGGTGATATTATTCTTTGGTGAAGAGCGGTGTTTATGGAACTGCTTGCTTGGGTCTACCTACTTGATACTGGATTTTGGGTCACAAGTTATATGATATTGATGTCGGCGAGAGGTTGGATGGAAATGAGAAGGGAGGATGGACATAGGGAGGATGAAAGGACTGGTAGATGGACTTTATGATCACCTTCTTTGGAAGTTCTCTTGTAGTTTATATTTGAAGATATAAATTTGGGAATACCAAGGTCGGCACCGACATCAACATCAAGCATCAACGTCAAGTTCGACGTTGATATCAATTTTGAAGTAACTTTGAATTAACTTCACTCTACACCTTCACTCTACGCCTTCACTCTACGCCTTCATCCTTCACTTATCATCATCAAATTCTCAACCTTGAACCTCTCACTTCCACTTTCCTATATTCCATTCTCTGCTGTCAATCCATCTCGCTGCCGAGGTACCTTGGTGGTCTAAGAATCCCTTCGAAGCTTCCATCAAAGACTCATGATATTCACTCCAGATACCTTGCAAATTTGAATGAAAATTTGAATGAAAATTTCATCCATTGCACTGCCTCCCCAATCTTACCGCCCTCAACAGAATTTTCTATTGGTGATATCTTCAACATAATTCACTATCAACGATTGCGCCATCTTTCTGCCACACCCAGTTTCCACAAAACAAAGACAAATTCACTTGATATCTCACACGCGCCGCGTCTATCGGAAAGACGCCAGAGAAACAAGGTTGGGAGAAAGAAAACTTGCTCAATCTCATTTCCCAACAGACGCCGACAAGGCATTCTCCATCACTTTCACCCGTTTCCCCTCACTTTTTCCCTCATTTTCCAATCATTCACTTGTAAGCTGCAGAGAAAATTTTCCCCTCCGAAGTGATCTAGCGCACCGAGATGGATTCCAAATTAACTTAAATACTTCCACATCCCCCGCACCCTTTCTGATTTCCTTTTTTCTCGACACGAATCTCCTCCAGACTGGAGTTTGTTCTCTTCTTTGCAGATCCGCCACCTGCATTGAATTGAACTTACTCCATGTCTTGGACCAACATCTCAATCATTAAAGTGCCCCTTGGATCTTTTTTATTCTTCAATTGACTTGTTCTTCGCCATCCCCTCCTCCGCTCCCTTCTTCTTCCCTTCTCTTTGTCGGATATCAACAACCTTCACCATTTCATCTTGGTCTCTTTCGTGTAGTGCCTGCTGCACGAGAGTGTCCTCTTTGGTATTGGTTCAACATTTTAATCATTGAGTGCCTCCGCCTACCGATCTCAATCATTCTTTTGTTCCTCATTATCCTTCAACACCTTCTTGTTTGTCGATACCTTCTTCTTCATCTCAATCTGCCTTTCAATTGTAGTGCCTGCTGCAAGCGATTGACCATTTTGACCTGATCCTACATTTCAATCATTGAGTACCTCTATCCATCGATCTCAATCATTCATTTGTTCCTGGTATCCTCAACTTCTTCGATAACGAGCGTTCTCTAGAAGGACTTTATCAACCTTTCTGGTGTAGCGCCAACTGCAACTGAAAATGATTTACTTCGTCTCTTGAACAATCGTTATCTCCTCTCTCAATCGACCAAACCACTCGATCGAGCCTCGTCAGATTTCGACCTTGAAGGTTCTGTGTAGCGCCAACTGCATAGAATTAACAACTCCACTTCTGTCGACTCGCTCATCTTGTGGACCCCTGGTCACCTTTAACCTTACTTGCGATTCGGACTTTAGGATTGTCTTTTCTTTGTAGCGGCCGTTGCAAAGGATAGACACGTTTTTTCGTCTCGACCTTCATCACTTGTTCGGTACTTCGACAATACAAAGCCAGCTACCCTTTGTACTCACCACGCTGGTCCTTTCAATACCACCACCGGCGACCCATTCGCACTATTCTCGTCTGCGTCTGGTCTTCTTCACCCTTTTCCGACTGTCCTTGTGTAAGTTTTTCCTCGATGCAGTCTTACCTGAATAACATCACTAACTACAAACAGATTTTTCTTTTCGTGTGCTTGTTCTGATTACGATCAACTCTGACCCGTTCGAGTTTTGGTGAGTTGTCAACTTGACTACGTTGTCGATCACCAAGATACTAACACCCATTGCAGAATCGATTTGTCCTTTCCTTTTGCGTGCTTCTTCTGGTTACGATCGACTCTGTCCCCGTTCGAGTTTCGGTAAGTCATCAAGTTGAACACGTCGTCGCACCACCAACATGCTAACACACCTTGTAGAATTGTTATCTCCTTCCTCCTTTCCTTTCGGTTTTTCCTTTCGGTCTTTCCTTTCTCGACAATATTGTTATCATTTTTATCCGGTTCGACAAATATCTTTTATTATTCTTATCGCAAGAAGTATGTATTTTCCATCATTCTCATTCCTCCCTTCACCTCTTACCTTGACCAATTCTAACCTCAAACAACAGGTTTTCGCAGTTCGGAATGGTGTGGTTGCAGGTGTGATGAACTGGTTGGGCGGAAACCCACATCTTCATGATCCACCTCTCCACTTACCATGTCTTCGCCTTCCTCTGTTGATTCTACCAAACTTTGTTGTTGATCCTTATACGATCTCCCTCGATGAACCATACGTCCAGTGCGGAGGTTCTTCGTTTCGCAGAGCTGTACGTCCCGGTCGCCGATGGCACGACAGGATGCAGTTTCTGACGGGAGATCAGGTCGAGTAATAGTCAGGACGGTGTAAATATAGCAGGCTGCGTCGGCAGGAAGCTTGAGAGCCCCCTGACTTCCTTCTCACTGACCATCGATTGCCTGAGGAAAACACCAGGACGGCAGGCACACCCGAGAGGGTACGTGACCGACTTAGCCTAATGGGACTCAGGAAGACGCGGGACGTCCCCCGTTGTCTTTCAAAGCAAATATTACAACCGAGTGAGGTTTTATTAATGGGTACGGGATCGACGTTGGCTGGTGATGGTGAGTTGGTTGGTGACTGTTGATGTGGTGGGACGGTTTGGCTGGGGAGTCTGAGGTGGGGGTTGGTGTGGTGGTTGGGGTGGTGGTTGAAGTTTCGAGGCTGCGGCCCTTCTTGTATTCGGGGTCAGCTGTGTTTTCAGGCCTGGTGGGCTGGAGTTGACTTCGGTCAAGGAAACATGGCAGAAGTTCAATTTGCTTTTGGGCAATTGAAGGTTGGTGGTGTTTGAGTAGAAGGTAAAAGTCAGAAAAACCCAAAAACATTCGAAAAACGAAACCTCAAAAAAACACGAAAAACAACAAACACAAAAAAACTCGAAAAACGAAAAAACACCAAAAAAAGGAAAAAGTCAGGCTTGACTTGTACGAAAAGTCCGCTTTGGTGACGGCCGAGGAGGGTTTCTTGTGGAGGAACAGCTTGACTTGAATATTGTAATAACAATTTTGTACAAGTACCTTGATTTCCCTTGTGAATGCATTTGATGAACATGACATGTCTTGTGATTTCCACCAACCTTTCTTCTGATTCATTTCTCTCTTTTTGTATTTACTAATATCATTGATATCACTTGAGAAAGTTCCAATCATATTCCCGACTTTGAGATTCTAATAACTCTAATAAAGCGGGAATGCTTTAATGAAATAGTAAATCGAATTCTGATATGGATACGAGTATACCCATCCATCACCATTGATGTGATTGACTTTGAAGTAGAAGAATCCACAACCACGTGGCACAACATCACACCATCACACCATACCATACCACTTCTCTCTACTCGTAGTTGAGTTGCATACCTACTTACCTATTCATCTAGTAAGTACATATTCCCTCCATTTCCTACACTAACTTCTTCCTACCTACCAGTAAATCACTTCGTTCACCTCATTCACCTCGTTCACCTCGTTCACCACAGCAAACACAACCTTATCGCAAATCAACCCACGATAATAATTGATTTCTACAACTCCCATCCCATCCCGTTCTCTTCCACAAAAACCCCAAGGCAGTGAGAGTAAGTACAGTACACCAGGTGGGATTGATTACCTAGAAGCTGGAGGTGATATTGATGTTGATGTTGAAAAATCGATGGCTCGGGTTCTCGGGTGGGGTGGCTCGAGGGTGAATAGGCTCTACGTAACCGAAAAAAGCAGCGGAAATTGACCATTATTCAAAAGAACTTTAACAACTAAGATCTCTTCTCAATATAATATCCAATAATACAAATACTCGTTATCAATATGAAAAAGACACAAATTTTCGTTTAATTTTTTCAAATTTTAATATTTCATTTGAAATGAATTTATAATCTATTAAAAAAGATCTTTGAAAGGGTACTCAATTTGCGCCGCTTTTTTCGGTTACGTAGAGATAGGTTAGACGCACCGCCGCATTTTATGATTTTTAGGTTACTCCTCCGTTGGTAGGGTAGGGTAGGTTAAGGTTAAGGTAAGGTTATGTAAGGGTACATAAGATAAGGGTACATAAGAGTATATTCCGCCAGCCCAGCCCAGCCCAGCTCACATTTTGAACATCGAAATCGAAGCACCAGTGAACTTCAAGTCTTGAGAATTGAATCTTTTTGGATGTGAATGTGAATGCGAACGTTGGATTTCGAATTGTTCGCTGTGGGTTTGGGTGCAGGGCTGGTTGGATGGGTGGTTTTTATGGTTATGTAGGTTTTCTTGCGATATTGATACGGATATCGATATTGAATATCGAATATTGTGTTGTAGAGAGATGGTAGGGTACGTAAGGTAGGTTGTGGAGATCGGCAGGTATGATTGCACTGCTGCTGCTGGAGGGATAGTTTGCATAGTTCTATGTGGTTTACGCGTCTAAGAATGATTTGATGTGATGGAAACAAAAAGGGCGCGGAAATATCATGGATGGATGGATGAAGACCAAGCAAAACGCAAAAGACGAAAGGAGATGAGGGAAAATATGTGTATCGAAAGAAAGATGCACTTCCATCATGCCCTGCATGTCGAACATGCCAGTGACCCAAAGATTGGGTGGACCGGGATAGTGTCTAGTTGGAATGATTTACGCGTCGCGCGTCTGAAATCCTTCCAGCTGACAGTGGCCGGTATCTTGGTCACCATCTGGATTAGAGTACATGGAGGTGAGAATACCCAGTGTCTTTATATCGACTTTTATTTGCAGCTGGGTCGTTGCGTCGACTTTTTCGACCGCTGAGACAACTGGTACTGCTCGTACCGTATTGCCCGCTTGCGTTGGAGCTACCGTTTGTGTTTTTGCTCTTCTCTTTATTGTGCGGGGCTTGAAACGTATTTGAATCTTCAACGCCCAAATCGTTTGAACCTCCGCGGTAGTCTTATTTACCTTTTTATTCTTCGCTTGCAGATCTGACTCGATTCTAACTCTAATACTGTTATGCGTTAGCTTGATATTTTCTATAAGGTATGTATCAATATCTAGAAAGAAAGCATTTATCTCCTCCTCAATATCTTTGTTATCAACCCCATTATGTTCCAATATCGCTCTGAAAAGGTCTCGGGTTCCTTTCCACATTTTGGAGAGGACAATCCTTGACTTCACGTCGCAAGCGATCCTTGTCTCATCATTTTTCCCGTTCGGGAATGAAAGCTTTGAAAATTGTCTACGAGCTTCAATATCATGAAGCTTCATCTCTATCAACTGCCAATCTTCAGTATCTATCTCAGCGTCTCCACTTCCATTTTTCTCCATCTTGTTGAGGACTGTACTTCATATCATCCATGTCGACTATCATCTCGTCCATCTCATAGAATGTAGCTCAAATCGGAATAAATCATTCCGAGAAATTCGTCAACTCGAGCGCCTTTTTCTTTATAGTGACCTGTTGGAAATGATCGCTCCGATACCGAAACATCAGGAGCTCCTATTACTACCTAGTATGTTTCAGTAATAATGCAGAGGGTCTTCATCAAATTATTTCACGCTACTTTGAAGGATACAGGGCTTTGGCTTATGATGTAACATGTTATAGTGCAATCTTTCATGTAGTTATATAGTGATACTTCCAAATCACACAGTGCTTTGTTGTATTCCAAAGGAAGGAAGGGATTTGTCTTTGGTGATGTTATTGATAGTAGTTGAGTAATACACACCTTTAAGCTTCTCTATTTCAGAAACCAAAATTCTCCAATTCCGCATGATCGTCAGTTCCCTGGTAAAGTCTCCTGTCTGGAAAAGCTGCTTCTTGAACTTAAAGTTCGGACCTCGAATGACCTTTCCGTCTCCCCAAAATTCAGCCATCGTTTAGACTATGCGGAATCCATTTGTAGGAAGGAGCTCAATATGATCTAGTTTGAGAGCGAGAGCCACACGTGCGCTACTCAATAGCTGGAGCTGGAGCTTCTCGATATCGACCCGCTGTGGCGGACCAGAAGGTTCACTTTCATATCCGGAAAAAATCCATGGATAGCAAGAACGCGAAATTGGAACGTAGTACAGATGTGCAATTGCTTCAGGCCATCGTGGTTCGCTACGAATTGCTCCACTATTCGACGGAGGATCTTCATTGTCTTGCTTTGTGCTCTCGGGATTAGATGTGCACGCGGAAAAGCTAATGATATCTTTTCTATGTGCGGCATGCTTGTCCCATTGTGAGAACATTGTATTCTAGATCATGCGTGATTACGCAGTACGGTTGATAAATTGCCCATACATGACTAATACTCTACTCGTGGTCGATTTGACTGCGTCGCATTCTGGTCGATTTGACTGCTGTCGAATGCGACGTATTCTGAGGGGTGATTGTTGCCTCGGTTGAATATAAGACTTATAGAAGTAAAGCGGGTTCGTCCGCTAATGCCTCTACATTTAAGTATTCCAGGGGTAGAAAATCTAAGGAAAGTAGGATTTATTTTAAAGGGAGAGCGAAAAATACGTCTAGGGGATAGAGATTCTTTCGAGTAGTAGGTACCTATAACTTACTGTCTTGGAGAAGTCGAGGTGTGGGTTTTTTGAGAATATTCAAATTGATGGGATGGTATGATATAATACAGATAAGTACGAGGAGCTAGAAGATGAGAAGTTATACTTCCATGTACCTAGTTTGTATGTATCTTGAGATTTTTGCGAAGTTATCGAGATGGTCTGCTTGCAGATGGGGTCGAGGAATACTCGGTGATGGTGATGGTGGAGTGATCTGCGGATGGGAATAACTGATCGAGGCTCAAATTAAAGAGCTCAGAGGTGAGATGTTAGAGAGGGAAGATAATATGCGCATGGAAGCTGGATGACAAGGTCCGTAGCGAATACTTCAGATGCACTGCACTATACCGGGGTGTTGAAGAACTGGAGTAGTGCTCGTGACATGACTTATCATCTGTATGTGGTAGCCCTGTCGAGTTTTCCTTGGCAACTTGGAGGTGAGAGGAGGTAACGAGGCGTTCGAGATATTTCCTTCGAGGCGAGTGAATGTGCGAGATTGTATCTGTCGACGGTATTTTTCCTATACAGAAGTTGTGTATCATGGTCAAGTGGTGTGGCTTTTATATGGGATGGAAAAGAGATCTGTTTAGCCGTGAAGGAGAAGTGAAGAGGCAGATAATATCAATGATCGCCAAGTGATTGCATTGGTCCAGATGATATGTGAAAGACATGAGTCTTTAGATCTGCTATTCCTTAGTTCTCGATTCAACGCGGTTGTCATGTGATGTGTATTTCTTTCTTAAGGACACAAAGCAAAGATATCGCAATTGATGGCAATGAAAAATATTCTTCAACTATCCTAGAGAGATCATCGTTAAAACTATCATAGATAGGGACTGTAGGATCTGGTACAACAACGAGTTTAACAATTGACAGAAATATAGCTCAAATCAAAGTTTTCCAGTCCTCCTTCTAAGTTCTCGATATGGATTCAAGGAGCGTAATAGAGTTTCAACCAACTCAACAAGTAACTGGTCCTTCATGAGGTATATTGGCGATCTCCCAGCGGATTCGAGATATCCACGGCCCGCTTGAATTCCAGTCAACCCGCATCTTGCAGTATGGCGGAATTCGACAAATTCTTACCGAGCGTGAAATCAACATAGTATTAGCGCACGATGGTGAGGATTTAGTAGCTTAATACATCTGCGATACTCGTGGAAGGCTGCTATGTATTTCACGTGCGCATTGAACATTTTACAGCGAGAACGCGGAAATTTCTATCCACGTCCCATATATATGATCTGCCTCTACAAATCGATCAACCACTTCGGGTCTTGGAATTCAATTACGGTTACAGTTCATTCATTTCGAAAGGCGCATCGTGCATAAGATTTTGCTCGTATGAAGAACCGACAAACAGATGTTCTATACATCTCATATCCACATTAAGCGGATAGTAAGATTTCACAAACATCCATCACAAATGTATTCGTAAAGTTTCCTCCGCAACTTCGCCACAACTTACTGTCCATCCAGAGACATGGACTTGAAAAATGATGTCTGTATTCACCAATCCTGATGTACACGCCAATTTTGTATAATCTCCAGGCCGTGGATGGTTCACTATAACTCCACTTGTAGGGGTACGATCTATTATTGATAAGATATGGATATCCTAGGATATCATAAACGAATAAAATATCTATCAACAGTATCCTAGATGATTTTTCACGGTACCGGGAAATGTGGGTTTGTAGCGAATTTTGGGTGGTTTCTAGGAATAATCTGAAGAAGAAGAAGAAGAAGAAGATACCCCGGGATAGTTTGGGAAAAGCACCCTTCCCTTCCCATAAAAGTCCTCAAAGTACAAATAACCAAGCCCCTCGTAGCCTACGCAATTATCGAGAAATCTGATATAGTCAAGCTGTATATAGTGGAGATATATCGTCGTCACCGTCATCCTTATAAATATATAAAATAAACCGAAATAGACTTATGCAGTACCGATTAGTGCGTACTAGGCAAATTTGCTCGATCTGATCTGCCTTACGGAATTCAATCAAGCATGATCCCTGACACATATTTTGAATAACATCGATTTTGAAATTTGAGTACAGAAAATTATCCTACATAGATAGTATCAAGATACGATTTGATGTATTACTACACTATCACAATTCAACACTACTCAAGGATTCCTATCTCATTCTTCCGCATATGTTTGTAATGTCTCATTCATGTGGTTGATCTTATATCATTTTTTGAAGAAATTTCAAGACGGAGAGTTCGTTGTTAGTCATTGGGACCCACTACCGAAGTTTAGGATTCGATGCGGAAGAAAAAGCGGGATGTTGAACGTTACTTTACTTTCTTCTCGAAATTCATATTGAATTGTTCTATGAGATGGGGGGTTCGATTATTGATTATACAGAAATATTTACAAGTATATTATTTATAGGTTTTCTAACTCTCGTGGTATCGATAATGTTATTTTATATTGTTATCTCAATATAAAATAACAATGTTTCTTTTCTGTAAGGGGTTGAATATTTAGCGAGTTCCTTGTCCCAGTTTTCCCGTTCCGATCGAGTAGGGGTCAAGAATACTAACGCAGACCAGCCACCGTGTCATTTCACGCATAAGGCTGTGATTATATAAGGACGTGTCTTAGAGTCTCACCTAAGACTGCGGCTACAAAATGATTAACCTCAGGGGTATCGGAAATGATATTCCGGATCAACATTTCCAGCGACGACATGCTGACTTGCCAAGAGAAAGCATACGTAGCCCCTACTACAGATTTTCCCCTCTTTTTGGGGCTGACAATTATATAGAAAATCGATCATGAAGAGATGGGAATACCGTCGTGAGATTCCGAATTTCCATACACATTCCTTCGTAGCACATCCACGCATCTCGCCAAACTCGGCTGTCGAAAGTTAAACTCGCGAGTATCGAGTACTCGATTTGACGCCCTCAAACTTAAAAATGAGTACCGCTCGCGGTAGTTGCTTCGGGACCGAAGATTGCCAAGGAACGCATGCTCATCGTGTCCCATAGATCCACTTATAGGTGCGAGTATGTGGGTCGAGCCGCCGGTCCGGAAAGACCCTGACCTTGACAGGTCGACTATTACTCCGATCAGATCTGAAATGGTAGGATGAGTGCATATATAGAGTATCAGCGATGTTGAAGATACTGTATACAGCTTCTGGAATGTGGTTTCGGAGCCGAATGTTGAAGCAAGTTGTGATAAGCTTGTTATAACCTTTTTGATATTGTCGGTCTATTCATTCATTAACATTTGATCATTAAGAACCTGAACTTTTCAGCTATTAGCTCCCTGAAATTTGCGTTATTGAGCAATCAATAGACTAATGACAAGTGTGTGAACATCTAACATCTCAACTCAATTTAACGAGAACACGCGGTTTTCGAATCTCAACCCAAATCACCCACCCCATTCTCAACTCAACCACGATTAAAGTTATTCTTTCCATCTAGCCTTCTTTCCCTGAACCCAAAAGTGTCTCAGTCGCATGCACCTACTACCACACTACCACACGATGGGGAAACACGAGCTCCTACCCTTTTCATCCAAGCTAATCTGTCAAGTGCACGTTAACTCTAGTTTCACACTTGCATTCCCCAATCTAACCAATTACACACTTTGTCTGAAGCATAACCATTACTCCTGCTGTCAGAAATAAGCATCTCCGCCGCTAAAGACAGGTGATTCCGCTTGTAGTTTACCATCTTACGGTACGTGCATCTAGCATCGGAGTCGCAAATATCTGGCTGCACGAGCATGTGTAAGAAATTGGGAC